GTCCCACAATGGGCAAATTTACAGCAGCAGAAAGATTATTGAAAATGGTCACACAAATGTGGACCTTAGAAAAATGTATAAGAATAACATAATAGGGAAGAGTTAAAATATAAAAAATAAAATTCTGTAAAGTGTTTTAAAAATATAAAACTGGAGAATTAATAACCAATATGCTCAAGCTGCTGCAGGCAGAGATTGAAACGGGGTGCTAACAGTGATTATATAAGAAATCAATACAAGTAATTAAAAATAATCATTTAATCATCATAACCGTTATTAAAATAACATAGTTAATTTTTATATGCATTTTTATACATTTTTTAATTATTTTTTCATCAGGTGACGCGTAAACCGTGTGGCATGGTGTGAGCTCCTCATGATGCGACCTTTCACATGAGGAGACCCTTAGGACGGACAGTATCGTCTTTGTATAGAATGCTTCAGTCAGCCTCAGTAAGTCACCCTTTCTCCAGCATGGACGGGTTCACACAGCAACCTAAAGTGATCCAGATCTTTTCCACTGCAACCTGCGTCTGAGCGAGCACAGAAGCGGCTAGAAACACCACATCCATGTTGGATGATAAAGGTGGGAGAGCATTTTATTTATTTTTTTTTCTAACCATCTTAAAAACGATTGTGTATTTAAGTTTGGGAAAGACAGCTAGATGCGATCTAAACCTTTGGATTCACACAGCAGCCTAAAGTGACCCAGATCTTTTCCACTGCAACCTGTGTCTGAGCGAGCACAGAAGCGGCTAGAAAGACAACAACCATGGTGGGCGAGCATTTTATTTATTGTTTTTTCTAACCATCTTAAAAACGATTGTGTATTTAAGTTTGGGAAAGACAGCTAGATGCGATCTAAACCTTCCCTCCATTTTTACGGAAGTAAACAAGGAGCAAGACGGCTTGTGACGTTATTGAAGTCTCTACTGCGCATGTGGGACGCTTAAACCGTATGAATGGACAAAATTAGACATTAGTTTTTATTTTTTTGTTTTTTTTTTATTTTTATTTTATTTTATTTTATTTTTTCTTTTAATAGACCGATACATATACATGTACATCATTATTTATCGTGTATAAAGATATATAGTCTTGCAGAATCCTATGAGGCAGAGGGCCACATAGGCAAAGGGCCACATAGGCACAGGGCAGAGTGAGGGGGCTACAGCAGCTGCAGCGAGGGGGGTTGGGGGGTGGCTGCACTGTGTGAGTGTGAGTGACTGCACTCATCACACAGCCGGTTCAAGCTGCAGGCAGGCAGAGGCTGAAACGGAGTGCTTACAGTGATTATATAAGAAATCAATACAAATAATTAAAAATAATCATTTAATCATCATAACCGTTATTAAAATAACATAGTTAATTTTTTATATGCATTTTTATACATTTTTTAATATTTTTTAATTATTAATTTTATATTAATTTTATGTCAATTTTATATCAATTTTATATCAATATTATATTAATTTTATATTAATTTTATATCAATTTTATATTAATTTTATATTAATTTTATATTAATTTTATATTAATTAAGGCGGGACTTCCGGTTTAATTAAGGCGGGACTTCCGGTTTAATTAAGGCGGGACTTCCGGCTGTCACTTTGGAATGTGGGCGTGGTTTCGAGTTTGATGAAAGGTGGTGCATATAGTTTTTTTTGGCTCATTAGAAAGCTGCATTAACAAGCAGTTTGATAGGTGTATCTAATTAAGTGGCTGGTGAGTGTATATTTATGCATTTGCATAAATGTACAACTAAGCCTACATGCCAACTATGTAGGGGCAGTTATAGCCATGCTAACTATGTAGGGGCAGTGATAGCCATGCCAACTACGTAGGGGCAGTGATAGTCATGCCAACTACGTAGGGGCAGTGATAGCCATGCTAACTATGTAGGGGCAATGATAGCCATGCTAACTATGTAGGACCAGTGATAGCCATGCCAACTACGTAGGGGCAGTCATAGTCATGCCAACTACGTAGGGGCAGTGATAGCCATGCTAACTATGTAGGGGCAGTGATAGCCATGCTAACTATGTAGGGGCAGTGATAGCTATGCAACTACGTAGGGGCAGTGATAGTCATGCCAACTATGTAGGGGCAGTGATAGCCATGCCAACTAGGTAGGGGCAGTGATAGCCATGCTAACTATGTAGGGGCAATGATAGCCATGCTAACTATGTAGGGGCAGTGATAGCCATGCTAACTATGTAGGGCCAGTGATAGCCATGCCAACTACGTAGGGGCAGTGATAGCCATGCTAACTATGTAGGGGCAGTGATAGCCATGCTAACTATGTAGGGGCAGGGATAGCCATGCTAACTATGTAGGGCCAGTGATAGCCATGCCAACTACGTGGGGCAGTGATAGCCATGCTAACTATGTAGGGGCAGTGATAGCCATGCCAACTACGTAGGGGCAGTGATAGCCATTCTAACTACGTAGGGGTAGTGATAGTCATGCTAACTATGTAGGGGCAGTGATAGCCATGCTAACTATGTAGGGGCAGTGATAGCCATGCCAACTACGTAGAGGCAGTGATAGTCATGCCAACTATGTAGGGCCAGTGATAGCCATGCTAACTATGTAGGGCCAGTGATAGCCATGCCAACTACGTAGGGGTAGTGATAGCCATTCTAACTACGTAGGGGTAGTGATAGTCATGCTAACTATGTAGGGGCAGTGATAGCCATGCCAACTACGTAGAGGCAGTGATAGTCATGCCAACTATGTAGGGCCAGTGATAGCCATGCTAACTATGTAGGGACAGTGATAGCCATGCTAACTATGTAGGGCCAGTGATAGCCATGCTAACTATGTAGGGGCAGTGATAGCCATGCCAGTCCAGAGACTGACTGCAGTTCTACTGAAAGGTGCCTTGGTCAAAGTCAATGACCGGCGTACCTGGCATGTAACCACCATACCATGCATATTGCTTTAGGTTAATAGACTATATTAATTAGGCTATGCATGCTTCCAAAAAGCTACTGTATAATGGCATATTGGCAGTGTTTTGGTATAAAGGAGGTTCACAGGAGGATATCGTCACTTCTCCTCCTGACTTCATCCCCATCATATGGTGAGCCAGAAGGTGAGTGTGACGGATCCTCCCTGTGTTCACGCCCACTACCAACAAACCTCCAAGTAGACGCTGAATCTGCTGCGACTGCAAACCTTCCTTGTTCCTTAGGTCGGTAGAATGAAGGTTGGAACGGGGTAGACGAGGGTTCCAGTTTGGCTGGAAAGTAAAGGTATCTTAGGATTTGGAGCTTTAAATGTTTAAATAAAGCAGTTGATTGGCTGGAGCGGAGGAGCACCAGGAGGTAATTGGCAGGCAGAAAAAAAAAGTCTTCAGCTGAAATGTGCTGCTGGGTTTCATTACCAATAGATTGATGTCAGAGTTCAGTATGGATTTTATATTTTATAACCAATGTTTGTCTTAAAGAATTTGGAATAAGCGTAATTTAGTTTTTATACTAATTTAAAGAACTAGGTTTTAAATGGAGGATCAGCAGGAGATGCTGAATGTTATTGGAGGCTCCTCATCTGGCAGTATTTCTTTAGTCAATCATTGCTTTTGTACAGAGCCCCTAAAAGGACATGGAGGGAAAAAAAAAAAACCTTTGCGAGATCCCGCAAAACTTTTGCGGGATCTCGCAAAAGTATTGCGGGACCTCACAAAAGTTTATTTTTTGCAAGATCTTGCAAAAGTTTTGCGAGATCTCGCAAAAGTTTATTTTTTCCCTCCATGTCCCTTTGGGGGCTCCGTAGGATTGCATACTGACCTTGTCTCTCTTCATTCGTGTAATGTTGTGTTTTGGGACTTCTCTAGAAATTAAGAACTTCTCCAAATCATCCTGCATGGTTGTAGCTGTTAACTGGGCGTATTATCCTCCCATAGCAGTACACTTTGCACCTCCACTGTTGTGTGTTTGTTTTACTTCCGGTTTGCCAACATGGCAAAACGTTTTGCGAGATCTCGCAAAAGTATTGCAGGATCTCACAAAAGCTTCTTTTTTTTTTTTTGCGAGATCTCGCTAAAGTATTGTGGGATCCCGCAAAGTTTATGTTTTCCTCCATGTCCCTTTAGGGGCTTCGTACTTTTGATTTTGTTGCATCACTTAAAGATTTTTAATGGCCTTGTGTGCCTATTTGAAAAATATAAAAAATATCCAGTGTTCTTTCTCGTCATAGATCTGTTGCACACAGACAGACGGAAATGTTGTTTCTCTTTCTCACCACAATCACACAACATACAGTAATACTGAAGATTGAATACAAAAAATAGCAAGAATGGAATTAGGTCAAATATCTTAAACAATATCTACTGTATCTGTCAGCACAACCTGTAGCAAAATGTCCATATTTTTATCTCTTAGCTTAAAAATTTATACTAGATAACTGATAAATAAAAACTTGGATGAAAATGTTTTTTTTTTCCTGCCAAACTCTGTCATAACACCTTCTAGTTTCTGGTTGTTTTATCTCTGATATTTTTTCTTGCTTATTTTTGATTTGATGAACTCCTGCAATTACTCCACTCAGCTTTTCTTTTCAATCATCAAACACTCCATTACTAATATATGTAATCATTTCATTTCAATGTCTCTTAAATTCAGTAGTTATGATCAATTTCTGGTTGTTTTGCTTTCTCACCTGCCCGTATGCACAGTTAATGTTTTTTCTCAGATGAACTAGTCAGTGGAAATGCTTGTAGCTATTTTCCATGATAAGTTTAAATGCAGCACTTCTTGTAATCGCTCCTTGCATACATTGTGCAGAACTACCTGCAATCATCGATAATCCATGCTTTTGTCTGCATTGCTGACAAAAGGTCTGTGGGAACCAAATTGTTTTCTCCCCATGAAGTGTTTTTTTTTTTTTTTTTTTTTTTCGTATGCCAAATAATTTTTGAATGAACCTTCATGTGTTCTAGTGAGCCATCTGCTGGACAAAAAGTGTACAGCAAAAAACAAAAAAACATTTATTTTTGTTTGACAAGCAAATATTTCTACATTCAGTTTACTTTTCTTTAAGAAATAACAGTGAGCAGTGTGGTTGTATTACTTTGTTTAAAACCTACATTTTTAATGTGGGATAAACATTTTACTACTTTCTACTCTTTTTTCCCCCTAATTATTCAACACTTCAGTAATCTGCAGAGAATCCAGACATGCAAAAACATTTGTCAAGGTCCTCATGCCACACATAAATCTATCTCTAAATGATGTACACTATTCTTAATTTTATGTTAAACAGGTATACATGCAGATTTGTCAGCATCCATATATACAGTAATAACCAATCACACAAAAGAATGAAAGCCATTATAATGCTGATCATTACCACTAAGCAGGTGAAAGAAAAGGGCTATGATCAGATCATTTCTTTGTACACAGTACTAGCGGTGCAAGCCTTCTCACCTCAATAAGGGGTGAATCTAAGCCACAATGTTTACACAATGTGTGTGTTTACAAAAATGTAAACATTAGTTGCTGTTTTTTTTTGTACTAAATAAGTACAAAAACACAAACCACCAATAAAACCACCACCGGTTGGGAAATGTCTACAGCATGTTTCCACTTGAAAATGGTACAGCATCTACTTTGTGAAGCAAGAGGTTTGGCGGCATCCTGATAGGTTCCCTCCTCCCTTGTTTCCACTGGAGAGCCTGCAGATGAAAAGCACAGATATTCAGGAATCTACATGGAATTACTGCCTTTTTACCATGTTTTTGCTGCAGATTGTAGAATTATTAGAAGAAATCCTAGAATTGATTCACTCATTGAGTCGTTGTTAAAAGCATCTCCATTCAGTCTGAAAGCTGGGTGTTCTTTATGACAGTCAGGTGTTTAAATAGAATAGAAACTGTGGTTTTTATAAAGATGTAACAGTCCTAATTGTGTAGTGCCTCTTTAAGATACTCTGGTATTGCTACCTGCCACTCCTTCTCTATAGAGAGCGTGGGAGGCATGTGATGCAGAGTGATACAGGTACTCCCAGTACCAGTGTGGTTGTGAGTTTTTGACCGTCCTCCCCTTCCTTAAATGCAACCCTAAGCGCTACAAAGATGTGCCAACTGTCTGTTCATTCAAACTGCCACATCAAACCAAAATGAATAAACGATTCTAGTTTCGTCATTCTAGAGAAGCAGATCTCAATCCTGGTTCTGTTTGCCAGATAATCTTTGGATTATTTTGCTAAATAAACTTTTTGAGGATCGTGACACCATCATTTTATTCAGATGGTAGAAATGAGACATTTTGAAAGCTGTATAGAGTGATTTAAGGGGAAATTGTAATTAGCCAAAATCTTTAATCCAAAACTAGTTTTCCGGTTGCACCTTTTCCCCTGCTATAGGCAGTAGGTAAGCTAAGTTTAAATGCCAACAAAGAGATTAAAATCATTCTAAATCAGAATCTTATGATATCTTTACCTGCAAGGTGGTGATGATCACAAGGACACAGATGATCACTATCACAAGAAGTACCACAGGAACACTAAGTGGTTCCTTCCTCACTTCCTCATCCTCTTGGCCCTGCTGTCTCTGAGGCCCACGAAGAGGACAATTTGCGCTTTCTGTGGATGAAAAAAACTGAGTAAAAAGGACTGAAGTGAAACAGACAGATCAGCAGGTGATGTTTGCTTTTTGGTGACCTACCCAGGACGTGGAGGAGCGTGCCATTGCCTGTGAGCTGCAGGAAGGGCGGTGGGTAGAAGATCTGAATCTCACAGCGGTAGATATCTGTGTGTGTGGCTTTGAGTCCAGACAGTGCCACCTCCAAAGCACCATCTTTGATTTGAATTGCACACTCCACCTGATAACCAGGATTCAGAAAAACACATTTCTTTACTGATAATTTGGGTTACTTTTCTCATGAATTCTTTTTTTTTTTAATACAAGCAAGTTTAATTTTATATTTGGATAATTTCTTGAGCAAATTCTTTAAAAGGCCTTTGAATTTTATTTTTTTAACATAAAACAACCAGCTGCCTGATCCAGTTCATTAGTTATAAAATCTCTGCTTTCCTTACATCTCCATCTTTCTCCTGCTGTGTCTTTATCTGCTGCTTGGAGATGTTGAGGACTGAGGAGCAGACTCTCTCGCTGCCATGGAGGCCCCTCAGCAAAGTGACCTGCAGATCTTCCAATTGACTGAAGGGATTTGCAGGAACTTGTCTGGGGTGTGTTTTGGTGAGCGACATTTGGTGACGGATGAAACAGTGAATCTGTGCCGTGCCGTTGGTGCTCACTGTTCTGTAAGACTGGATCACCTTCATAGCTGTAAGGGAAAAAATGTACAAGGTAGATTAAGAAACAGATGTAGCCGTACTTCACATTCAGGTAGTCAGTGCAGCTCTGCTAAATAAATTCCCCAGCAGCAGTTTTATGTTAAACCTGCAAAGTAAATCAGCCTCAGCTGCAGGGTTTATGTGGTGAATACAGCAGATTTCAAACTGCTCCTTAGAGAAAGACTTGAGCAAATAATAATAATAAAAACAATTTGCATATCCCTTACAAATGGAATCTTTTGTTATTTTTCTTAATATATTCGGGCAAGTTGCCGTTTCTTGTTATTACATTAACATTCATTTTTGTCAAGTTACAAAGGTGATAAAGTCTTGTCCTGGATTCCAATAACATTTCTGGCTTGAAATTTAGATTTTCAAAGTATTTTACCGAGTGCCCTATAAAGCGTTAAGCTTAGAACTTTTTCACATTATGTTGCCAGGCTGAAAAAGAAACCTAATCAAGTCACTTTATGCACAAAAGTTAACATTGGGTTTTAAATTCTAGACACAGAACTTGGTTAGAAATTCATTTATTCTCTTGACAAGTCAAATCATCTCTTTTCATAGCAAAGATAGTTGAATTAATGTAAAGTTATATGTATAAAAAAACAACAATATATTTCTTTAAAAGTTAGTTGTTGAGTAAATGATAGTTCTGAGGTGCAGGAGCTTCTGATTCCATTCTGCAGGTAAAGTTACCCAAAGCATTTTCTCTGGGGGAAGTGATGAACAGGAGGGATGATCCTGACAGCTGAAACTCTCAGGTGTCCCAGTGGGCATTCATCTAACACTCCAATAATTAACTCCATCCCTTTTGTTCTAAAGGGTTGTCATACAGCGATTGTGTTTTATAGCAGGTAGTCTTCTATTCTGTTATTAGATTTACTGATTAACCTCTCTAAGTTGTATCTTTTGAGTTTACACTTAGCCAGAGGTGAACAACCATTGAACTCAGCACATTTTCTAAAAACAAACTGCATTATTTAAAAGTTGCCTTTATATCTGTTGTTATTTAGCTAGTAGAGAGTGAGTGGTGTTCCACAAGGCAGTTTTCTTGGCACATTACAATTTTTGAAATGTTACCTTATTTGAATTCAAATACCTTGAAACACAATCTTTAGCCAATGATATGGCTTATTTCTGTCTGAATAATTTCTACATATATTAGATCTTCTTGTTCTTTCCACCGTTGTCTCTGGGGCCATAGAGTCTCAGTGGCTTTGCCAGTGTCATGATAAAGAAGTACTTTTGTTTTATATAACTCTGCATAGCAGAAAAATATTACTAAAGGTTTAGCTTTATAAATGTATATCTTTTATAAACTATTATCTGTTATTTCAACCATTTCTTTGGAAATCTATCTCTCCCCTTTGTTACTCATCTGTACATAAGCATTAAAAAAAAATCACACTTCGACAATATAAGTAAAAACTGGGTTAAACTTACAACTCCACACAGGCACAGTGATGCTGAGCACTGCCAACACAGTCCATCCCATCATAGAGTGATTCAGGAACATCTTGCAGGGTTTCACAAAGAGGCACAGAATGAAAAACAAGACAAATGCGGTCGGCCACCACCCTAGCGAACTCGATGATCAGATTTTATGAAAATACAGCTAAACCAGAGAGAGTCACCTTTATAACCTTTCTCAGTTATCATGGAAACTGTGTAGCAGCACAGGAAATGACGGTAACGCTTTGCCGGTAAAGACAGACAACAACTTTTAGTGGCTGTGGTTCTGCAGGAATGCTGAGAAGAACAAATTTAAGTGATTTTCACAAACAGCTGCTGTCAGTGGAAAAAAGTTTAGTAAGAAATCAATCAAAAAATCAATATACATTTGAAGAAAATATATATATAAAAAAATGAAAAAAACAAACAAAACAAAAAAAAAAAATATATATATATATACAAATAAACATATATGCCAAAAGACACAGCTCAGAATCTGAAAATTAATATTCAAACCGACTGTCTTCTTATGATTGTGTAGAAAACTTGTTTAAATAAAGATGTGTGTCAACTTTCGTGTTTTGTGTTTTTGCATCAGAGTTATTGATTACCTCCTGCATGATCTCAAAACTCAGCCTTTATTACGTGCTTCTTTTTATTTTTTATTAATTTTTATATGGTTGCAAATGGCCATAATCTAATCTACTACTGTAAATTGCAATTCAAAGTTCCTGAAGCACATTTTTTATTTCATCAGTAAATAAAACATGGCTGATGAACGGAAACTAAAGTCAGATATTCATATGGAAACTTTTACTGGCTGAATATTTCAATAGAACTTTAGCGTTTTTTTGTTTTTCCTTTAGCTAAATGAAAAATTTAACAAGTAAATGTAAGGGACGCAGTTTTCAGTACTGATATGTTGTCATAATTTTACATAACTTCTCGTTCTTTTAAAAAGTGAGAATTCAATATGTTGGTGAATATTCTGAGTCATCCAGGTCATAGCCATTCCAAAAAAGTAAAAAAAAAAAAAATCCACTGGACTTTGTTTTCAAGTTTGAAGACGTTTTGCTTCCCATCCAGGAAGATTTTTCAATTCAAAATCTTAGAAATAGCATTGACTTCGAGGTTTTATACAGCAGCCCAACAAAGCCTTGCTTTTGTTTTGGAAAACATGCAAATTAAAACGGACGAACAGGCCCACGCCTTTACAATGGGGGTCGTTTGGCGTCTTTGTTAGCCTGCAATGCCCCATACCTGTCTATGTCTCTGAAAGGTGGATCGTTAAAGGGAATTGTTGGCCTGGCTAAATAGGTGAGGTCTTCTGCTCTCCTGTAAAGGGGTTGGGGTTGCAATGATAGCGGGAAGGAATCAACTCAATTGCTGAATTGTAGGTTTTTGAAAGCTGAAATCTGAGTCTGCCCCCTCCGTTTAAGGTTTTTTTTTTTCTCTCTTAACATAGATGGCTTCCTTCACACCCCTCTCAAACCTCCTATTTTTTTGTCCAAAATATGAACATTTTGGTCCTCAAAAGAATGTCCTTTGTCCTTAAGGTGTAGATTTACCGCTCCAGAGGAGGGCGCTCTTCTGTGTTTGGCCATGCGTATGCGGAGAGGTTGTTTGGTTTGTCAAATATAAAGATAAGAGCATTCCTCACTGAATTGAACTGCAGACACCACTCCTCTCATATTTGGTTTTGTCCTTATGAGCAGAGTGGTTTGTTGTTAGCTTTTTTTGGAATGAGAATTCAGTACTTGCTTAATTTCTTCTTTTCTGATTTTCTACGTTGTATTTCCCGGTGGATGCCTCCAAAAATACCATAACGTCATTCATGGCTCATCTTAACTGTTATTTACTTCAGGAAGGATTTAACTTGAGGTTGACTGGAATCTCCAGCAGAAAATCAAAAACTAACATAAAGTTTTTAAAGACAAACTGGAAAGGAAGATATTATTTCTCTGATAGTTCACACATTTTGAAAAGGAGATCTTTTGATAACCATTCTCTGCGATAATAGGAAAATGGAAAGCATAAGAATATTTGTTGGCAAACTGGTACAAGTGCTATTCCTGGAATGCCTTTTGTAGCAGAACATGATTAGACTTAATAAAGAACTTCTGTAGTTTTGTAATTCATTGTCGCTATAAAGCAGGTACATGTGGATTATTGGACTCTTAACAACATGGTGTAAATTAGTGGTAGGCATTAGCTTGGATTCACTTTCTATTAGTCTTTTTCCTGCTTCAAATTAAAGGTAGGTATCAGCTTGACGAAGCCATGATGGCAATTATATTACATCCAAGTAGTATACTGTTCTTCATATATACACTTGCATTAATTTCAAACAGATGGTATCGGTATCCGCCGATACTGCACAGCACTATTGGGGCAAAAAAATGGCATCTGTGCAACACTAGTGGAAATTTCATATCATTGGAAATATTAGAAATGTATCTTTTGCCAAAAACCTTGACATGTTCACTAACTATCTTATGTAAATCATTACAGTTATCAACAGATTTTTTCCATTATGCCTCAGAGGATAAAAGCAATACAATACAAAGATGAGGTAGAACACCTGGAGTAGTGGAGCAAAGACGATAACCTCTGCAACAGTGTGAAGAAGACTAAGGAGATGGGATGGATTTCAGGAGGAACAAGGATCTTCTTGATTTCCTGTACCTCAGAGGAGAAGCTGTGGAGCTGGTTTCGAGGTACGTACAGGTGGGTGTGCATTTATTCAGTGTGCATTTACCTCATCTGGAGTGCCAACACTGGTCAGGAAAGCCCATCAGCATCTCTACCACCTCAGCTGTGGAGGTGTGCAATGTCGGACTCATGAGCTTAGTCCTAAGAAGCTTTATCACTACATGGTGGAGAGCATTCTTTGCAGCTGCACTGGTGCTAAGAGGCTGACTCTGCGGAGGGAGGTCAAGGCAGCACACAGCCTTCCCTCCACCTTGGACCTCTACACATCAAGTTAAAGAAGGAGAGATCATGAAGGACTCAACCCGTTCTGCACACACACTATTCCAGCCTCTGCCTTCACACAGGGGGCTGAGGACCATCCAGAGGAAGACGACCAGGCACAGAAAGAGTTTCTACCATGCGGCTGTAAATTTAATTCAGCTTCATCTGTCTCTCTTTCTTTTCATATATATTAAGCTAATAAAATGTATAATCCAGATTTATGACATCTCATTTATTACAACCTATTCATTGCTAAAAGTAGCTATAAGCTTACAATCTAATTTCTAATCAATGCGGCTCAAAGGATAAAGCCAACCATTTGCTTTAAGTCATTGACTTTATAGAAACAAATTGTACTTAACCACTTGTGAACCAGAGACATCAGACAAACCATACTGAAGCTAAAGAGAAAAGTTCTGAACTGTTGAGGCTAAGACAGATGTAAGGAATAACTATATTTTATTCGAAGAGAAAAAATTCCAGAGATGATTTGTGGTGCCATGCTTGTACTAGACTCCATCACTACCAGCAAATCTTAGAGTATTTAATGCCTTCCTCTGCAGGTAAGCTTTAGAAGAAGGAAGCAATGCATATATATGCCAACATTTTAGTATTGGCTTTCTCTGGCATTGTTTTCTAAGAAACAGAATTTCGGTTTCTAATTAACTCTCAGCTATAATTTTCTTTTAATTTTATCTTAAGTTTTATTTAATGTTGCACCGATACCAATACCAGTATCGGGTGGGGCCCCAATCCAGCACAAAATGGTGGTATCGGTATTGACGAGTACCAACAAACAGGGCACCGATACCATTTTGAGAGCCAAAAGTTTATTCACCAATTATCACCCATTCCAGGTAGGCAGTAATCTACTGGATTCACTTTGCATTATTCTTTTTCCTGCTTCATGAAGGTAGGCAGCAGCTTGACAAAGCCATGATGGCAATTATTTTACATCCAAGTAGTATGCAGTTCTTCATATATAAACACACACATCAGTTTCAAACAGATGGTATCGGTATCGGCCAATACTGCACAGCCAGGTATCGGTATCTGGGCCTAAAATTGGCATCGAATTAACACTAGTTTTATTCAACATGGGCAGACAGGCAGGATAACAAAAACACGTCATCTCAAAGTTCTTTACAGAGACAGTTGAACCAGATCATACAGTCATATTGGTTAAAACTTTTCAACGTAAAGAAAACCAGCTGATTGCATCCAGTCATTGACTTAGCAGGATTCTCTCCTACTGGATGGATAAAGTTAAACATCAACTTGCATTTTATTATTAACTCTACAGAAATCCCTACACCACCAAAATACATCCAGTGACCGTAAGGAGAACAAAATCCCTTTTAATGGCAAGTAGACATATAAAAGGAACATGGAAGCACTAATCCATTAAAAATATGTTAGAAAATGTAGCAGTAAACTAGCTTCATTAATGTCTCTTTCCTGGAAAAACAGTGTTTAATGGATAAGCTCTGAGTAGGATTTTCTGTCAAAAAGGATGCATACACTTACTCAAACGATGAACCCATAGCAATATGTCGGAGAGAAACACTTAAAAACAAGCCCAACTCTTTCTTATATAATCAAAGGTGTTGATGGCAGTAGCTGTCAAGGCTCAGATACCTTGAAGGAGAAAGCCGTTATTGAAAGCTCTGGATTATGCAACTCGTCAGCTGGGACCAGCTTGCTCGATTCTCTGGTTATAAGCTCAGTCCATGTCCAGAGGAATGAGTGGGAGCCGGTCAGATGACTTCTACACACCATCCGGTGGGAGCTGCCCAGAGAGTTCCAGGAGCGGAGCAGAGCAGCCAGCAGACGCTGAAGAACAGGAGGGTTAATAGGCAGAATCCAGAGCGCGTAAGGAGGCCGGGATCCAGACCAGAAGATAAGAGAGATGCAGAGAAAGAGTTCTAGGAGAAAGAGTTGTCCTACAGAGATAAGACAGCAGAACTTCTATTGAAAACTTAAGATTAATCAAACACCTCAAACTGGTAAGAACAATTAAGCCTAGTTTGACCAGCCAGAATGACTTACTGAACTGCAGGGGTGGGCAATTCCAGTTCCTGGAGGTCATTATCCTGCAACTTTTACATCCATCCTTGGTCTAGCACACCTGAATCAAATGGCTGA